CGTCGGCGAACATGTCCTTGCGTGCGCATTTTTGCAATGTTCCTCTCCAACAAAGCCATGAATGGAAATCGCTCATAGGTACACTCGCCGACTAAACGGTAACCCTTCAGTTTCCTTAGCTTCTCTTTTTTGAGGTAGTTGTAGGTGAGGTCTGGAGGCGTAAAAAAAAAGAAACACCAACGACACATGGCCGGATAGCTGGATTCGCACATGGCGGCACTGGGATACCTTTTCAAATGAATATTGAACGCCTGATGCTGAAGTGAAGGTTTCTCTCGCGACGGACCACCAACAGACAGCCCAGAGGGTTGCGCCGTGCCTCCAATAGCATGTTCATGCAGACTGACGATTTTGGGAAGTCACGTAACTCAATAAACAAAAAAAAAGTCGTCCGTCTTCTGGCAGGCAGTTTTCTGAGGGGGTTGGATCCACCGGAACCCTTTGACAGGCGGCATGCATCTTTTCATCGAGTTTGGTGTTGCAACGTTACATTGGCAAAAGTATCGTGCATGTCCGTCAGAGTCGTCCCCTTTGAGCATTAGTTTCTTCCCATGGCAACTTGTGCTTGTTGCGGTGAGAAAGAATGTGCTCACGCACAGATCCTCAATGACAATCGCATCGCACGTTCACATCCGGTCTTTGGGTCTTCTGAAAGCTAAATGTTTGTTTTTTCCAAATAATTTTGTGGCGGCCCGTAGAAGAGAAGCCACGACACGCGCAGAAAAAAGTGAAATATGGCCGCTATGGGGAGTGGATACCCGACCACTCGCGGCCGGGTATCCGTTTTTGTCATGGGCCAACGACCGTACGTTTCATGCTTCCTTACGGGACTCTTAATGACAGATGAGTCGGATGCTCTGCTTATGGGCAGGTTAACAGCAATATTTGTTGCAGGCGAGTAAACCAAGGTACTGTGTAAAGTCTGGACACATAGAACATCTGAGCATATTAATACTACCGAGGTCGTGAGACTATGGCGGCAGGACTCACATGGCGGATGAGCCGGTTGAACGTCCCTCCATTCAATGGCAACCTTGTCTTTTACGTTGCTCAACACTGACTCTCACTGCCACCGCCAGCGGGAGGGAGGCCCAAGCGTTCAATATCGCCATCTACCCCCATTAGACTTTGTACGCAATAAGCATTTTTTTGTTGTGCCATTACTACGGCGACGTAGCTTTTGTTTTCCTTTGCAGTTTACCACGCTTCATGGGGGGTATACGCATTACAGCGGTTTTCGGTCAGGACGGATGGTTTGTGCGGTGTGCGCACGCGCAGACCGCTTGAGCTTAATGTTCTCAAGATGCGTTCTTTTTTTTTCTCGTTGCCTCGGTGCCAACAATCATTCTCGGATAGCGGAAATGCTTCGGCATGGTTCTGAAACTACGTGAATTCCGAGAACACAATTGATTAAACCCAGCTCACAAGGAACGACAAAAAATTGTGTTGGAATATTCGTATAGGGATAATTAATACAAGGAACAATGCAAGCTTCCGTTTGCTTGCGACAACCTCTTCTCCTCCTACCACATCGGAGAATCCATAAAGCTACATGTATAATGCCCATACACGTCCATCCCCCACGAACCCTTACGTGCTGCGCATATATCACACATCCCAAATAGAAATGCTTCACATGAAAACAAAAAGATACCAAACCCCACTCGACCACCATCCTCCATCCTACTACCGCCTTGACACGCTCTTCATGACGGCGTCGGCTGAGGGGTCGACGACGGCGGCTGGGGCCATTCAGCCCAACTAGGGCAAAACGACATACTCTCGACGTACACTGTACAATCAGCGTCCACGGAGAACGTGTCCATGTCCTTGTAGTTTGACGGGGTGAGGACGAGGAGGTCGCCGCGGTGGGCTACTGTGTGGGTTTCGGTGTAGAAGGCACCTGTGACTTGTTCTGAGTAAAAATGGAGAGAGGGGATGGGTGTTAGGGATGGAAGGCAAGCGAAAAGCAGAGGAGCATGGGCGATGCGCAGCACGTACCATGGCGAGTGAACTGAACCGTGTCGCAGTTACGGGAGCGGGAGAAGGAGACGGTGATGTTGACCACTGACCAAGGGAATTCGGAGTAGTGGGAGAAGGTGACGCCATCGTCTTTGACGAGGATGGCCATGTCGCGGAGGTTACCGGTGCCGAAGCGGCCGCGACTTTGGCGTTTCTGGTGGTAACGGACGCCCGAACGTGGGTTTGCAGCTTTCAATTTTGCGAAAAGGGTTTGATCAATGTTAGCATCGTGTAGTGCAGGGAAAAAGCAAATGGCAGATAACACTCACTGTTGACGAGCTGGCAAGGTTCCGGTGAATGCGTAGGAGGCACGGTGGATCCGCCCGCGGTGGTCGTAGGTGTCGGTGTGGCCGTTGGACGCGCACCCACCTCGCACAACAAGTTTTTCGACATATGGTAGTCTCCTTCCTTCGCCTCTTTGAAATCTTGATGAATCACAGTCTTTACGCAGGGCACCGTTACAACGTGCAGATTCGGGTCGCATTCCTTGCCGCCGTTGCTGGCAAAGTTGGCGTATTCTGCGATGAACCTCGCGTCTCCCGTCCAGGTGGTCCCCTCCTGGCCGAGAGGGTCGCAATACGCATTGCATGGTTCTTGGAGGTGGTAGTGGCTGATTTTGCAGTCCTGGGGCGGGTGGTATTGACACATCATGGGAAGCTCCACGGCAGCGCTTTCTGGTTATTGTCAAAGCGGCAAGGCAAAGAAGAAAATGGGAAAATAAGTCGAAAAGTAGTCTCAACTTGACGTGTTGATTGAGTCGCGACTATGTTTAACAAGACCATTGACTTACCCGCCAAATACTGACTTCCCGGCTGACCCGAAAACGGCGCAAACACGTAGCCCCGCCCATCTTGGTCTATGACGTTGAACCAACTCTCGGTGGCCCCACACGCCTGAAGAACGCGCTTTCCCTCGACGAGGGCGTTGCCGAACGGGTCAATAGGACTGAAATTGGAGGGACAAGATGCTTCCGAGCGAACGGTCTTTTTGAGTGTGGAGGTCCCTGCGACGACGGGGATGAAGAGGGTGTGCGAGCCTGCAGCGCAGCCATACGAGTCGAGAGGATCAGGCGATGGAGGTAGTTCTGCCGCGCACAGCAAGGGCAGAGCTGCACAGAGGAAAGGAGTGGGGAGTGAGAACACAAGGAATTCATTGGTTTCCGCGACCTGCTGAAGTTCATACCCGCCAGCGCAGTGATGACAGGAATTAAGAGCGGGGACATTATTGCGAGAACCAACTCGTTTGAAAAGAAACTGAAAAGACTCTAGTTGTTTCCCCCTTGCTCGTCGTCGTTTTATAGACAAATCTCCGGGCTTCCTCACCCCACACCGCGACCAACGCAGCGGGAGAACGTGGGAAGAACGCGCAAGGAGAGCCTGTGGCTGTGAACAAGAGGGTTTCTTGCTCTTTGCCGGGAGGGCTGGGTGAGCTGGGCGAGTTGGGCCGGAACGGACCCCTTTTCTCGGAACTTTGCCAGGAGCCACCAGCAGACCCGACCCACCCGACCCACCGGTGTCCCAGCCCAGTCCGTGAGCCAGCACGCCCCAGAACCTTTCAAGCTAAAATCCATGTCGTCACGCATGGGAAAACCATGAAATTTCAAAAGCCAAAAAAGGGGAAAACTCTAAAAAGGAAGTCTTTGCTGCGATGCATCTGCATTGGTGCTAACGCTGAGATTACCTGCGCCACCTGCAGTGTCGGATACCGCGTGCTGCGCTGGGTGGGTACCCACTCATTCTGATCTGATGGAAGTGTTCAACGACCACAACGATAGAAAATACATTGTCAGGAATGAAGTACTTAACGCTGGCAACCTGGAGTGCAACTGTTTTCAAGTCTCAGTCCCGCGAATGCAAATGATATTGGGAGTACGACAAACTTTACATCCATGTGCGAACATCACTCTCAGCCACCGGGCAAAACAAAGGAAGTGGCAGTGAATTTTTGCGGTACTGCTTTTGCTGACGAAGCCTAAGTCAGTGATAGGGGACGCTTTTCTGTGTCTTTGCATTCTCCATGCCTATTTAAATTATTCCGTCGTAATTTTTGACCTCAGACCGAACGCATGCGAGTGCGCTGCATGCCTTTGCCGCGTTTTCTGTAATTTGCGTGACCATCACGAGGACTTGCCGGCAGCAGTTTCTTTGCAGGCTACGGCTCGTCGCACGGCCCGGTTATGAACTGCTGCGCTTGGGCAGGATAGCAAAAGCCATTTAGGTGCGAGGCCGAAACCGACTCTTTGCTCCGGTCACATCAATCCACCGCGTAAGTAGGTAGAGTGGCAGTGCGACAGCAAAGCTGCAGAACTTATGGAATGGCGAGTACTGTCAACCACCACAGCCTACATTACAGTACTGTGTTAGTGCGACCTGGCCGCTTTTGTCCCCATTTTGTGAGTGTTGCAGAAGAGGCCAATAACTGACGCGAGACCATAAAAATTGTGATTAATTTCTACTGCTTTCGTCGAGCGCAAGCGAATCATCGCAACGTGGTTTAACACCGCCCGAGCAAACTTTCCTCCGATTTTCAAAACACCTTGAAGGTGCCAACTCTTCTTCTCGTCTCGACAAGCACCGTGGAGTCAGGTACCGGGTACTCAAACCTTTCCGCGGTCGCTCCCAGTGCTTGCAAGCGCAGGGGCTTTTCGACTCCCTCATCCTCGTCTTGATTTTGTCCGACTCTTGACACATGGGGTGCCAAAAAGACCAGGCCGTTGTCCAGCTTAGACCACAAATGCCGTCACGTCCCTTTCAGATGGACACCATTCACACTTCCGGGGCGGATGTAATGAAATAGAATGACAGGAAGGCCAGACACTCCGTTGCGGGATGTTTCGCAAGTTGCAATTCCACCCCGTCAGACAACCCAATGACATCGCGATCAAGGTTTTACGATGGTCGATGACCTCCAACCCCAAAACCCTCGCTGCCACCGTCGTAATGTATGTAATTTGCCGGAATCTGAAACAGCACAAGAAAGACACGATGGCCGAGTGGTTAAGGCGTTGCACTTGAAATGCAATGGGTTCATCCCGCGCAGGTTCAAACCCTGCTCGTGTCGCTGATATCTTTCTTGAAAGAACATTTTTTGCTTTTCAAAAAGCCGGACGCATTTTTGTCCGCTAGGGTTCGAGGGAAGTGGTCGTCTTTCTTCTGTTCCTTCGAGCCAATGTGATCGGACATCTTTCACATTGAGTTGCATAACGGGCTTTGCAAAGTTTGACTTGGGGGTGTGCAAAGCTTAACTGATAGCATTGTTAAGGGGTTCGAAGCATTTTGCGGCGCTCTGCTGGCACCACCTTGTTGGCACGGCCTTGTGCGCGCACCGCATGGTTCCTTTACCAAAAGAAGTCTGCGCACGCATTTTCACTACTTTTGCGCGATGGTGATACGTTCGGTGATGAAACTAGAGGGAGGTATGGAGCGGGGGAGGATCCATCAGTTTTTAACTCCCATTGTTGTCCGAAATCCTCGCAACTGGAGCCGTATTCTAGATGATGAGGTTGTTTCGTTCCTCGTTGGGTGAGTGGAATATGGACGGTGGGGAACGGCATTTGATTGGCTTCAAGCATCATCACAAAAAAGGAACGCGTCTTTGTATTTTGGTCAGAGGTAAAAGGACATGGTTTACCATTCAATTCAATCAGAGACATTTACTTCAATTAGGAACCCTGCCAACGCTGATTCTGTAGCGCAGGGCGTTGGCAATCAGCGCTGCAATGGGTTTGTAGTTTCCTTCGTCCCGAGTCAAACCCAGGAAAGAAAGAGTGCCCACGCGCATCATTTTTACACTCAGGCCCGTACATTCAAAGAAGGCGGGGAAGCGCACTGTTAGTTTTGTTATGTGCTATTTTCCTATTCAGGCTATGCATCCGCTGAATCCTCATGCCATGACGAAAAAAAAGGGGCAGAGGAGGTTAATCCCGCCGGAGTTCTTGTCCAGAGCCCAGAGGGTCCTTGCGTTAGAAACCTGTACTTCGGAGTAACATTGTCGCACTGTCTTGTTGCGGTGATTGGTTTGCCAGTCGTCGTCTAACATGAGAGAGCCTGGAAAGTGGAAAGTAGAAATTCACGGATATGGATACCCTCCACCACCAGCGGTTGGGTATCCACTCACGCGGGCTCTCCTGCCCCATGCCCTTTTTTTTTCGTTGCGCCTGCCATGGCAGGCCGCAGTCAACACAACACTGAAAATGGGCCACGGTCGAAAGAGAAAAAAACGGGGAGCCAACCTTGAACCAACCGGAGCCAGAAGGGCCGCGAGAACAGCTACGTTTTGGCCTGTTTTGACCATGGGAGCCGAACGAAGACGCGAAGACGCACACGCCGTGGGGTTACTATTGATCACCGTGGTTCCTGTTGTCCTCTGGTGCAATTAGGACCATCTTTCAATAAACTAGGGCACACAAAAGCGTCTGGTGTGAAGTCCGATTGAAGACCAGGCCTGCGTTTGCTCTCATGTACCTGTATGTGACTGTACAATACGAAACACCTACACCACCTCTGGATTCATCATTCCGCACATTAGTTAAGTGGGCGAAACGAAATGGAATACCTACTAAATGGTTGGGTATCCATACTATGGCCACGTTCACTGCGTTCATTTTTTTATGCGCCTGACTAGACCCTACCCACCCATATGTGGTAAGGGCAGAAAACGTTCCCCGCCCAAAAAAAAGCGGATGCCTGCTCAAATTAATCGCGCGTCAGAAAAGCAGAACCCTTCCAATGTATTGCAATCAAAACAGGTCTCGGTGTTCAAACTTATTCGGCCGTATGTGACCCGACAATATGACACACCTGCACCGCCCCCTCATTTCTCCGTTCCGCTCACTGGGTGATTATTCTGCGGCGTCCGTCATGGTTTGTGACTGTCAAGCAACGACCCAGAAGAAACTTGGAGGCACCGATGCTGCAGATACGCTACATCTGCACTTCAGCCCTTAGAAACGGGAGAAAAAACGAGATGGGATACCTTCTCAACGTTTGGGGGTCCACGGCTACAGCATTCAGACAATTTATTCATTTTTTTTGTTGTTTTTTTCATGCTCCTGATTTTTAAGGAGACCTAACCACCCAAGGGGAAAAAAAAGGACCCAAAGGTGATAATTATTTGACGGCCAGAACAGGTGAAAGGTCAGCAGCTCGTGGCAAGTAAGTTAGAAAGTACATTTGGTCCCGAAGGACCCCGTGCTGCTGTCAACCATAAAGACGTATCCTTTCCCCACATACGATACTGTCAGGCAGGAAATCAATTGTTCGATTATATGCGAGCAGGAAACAGCCCACGTTAAAAAAAAAGCGGAGGCCTGCGCCAACACCATTTTGTTTCAAAACAGCAGAACCATATATCAACCGAAATAAGTCCCAGAATTACAAACGACCTCTTCCAATATCATTCGAAACAGGTCCAAAAGTACAAAATTGCGTTCTGGTATTGTCCCCTGTGTGTTGGACCGTCCCGAGACTGGAAAGTTGCACTCGGTGAAATGGATCAGCGCGTCGCATCGGGTCGATGCCAGTGTCGCGAAGCTCGTCGCTCCTGTTTTCTTTGTTGCCCCTACCAGACACTAACCAAAAACCTCGCCAAAAAAAGCACTACCTATGGGACTTGGCCTGAAGTGGATTGCGGAACTGCTCGCAACAGCTCTGCCCCATTGGATTGTGGAACCGCTCGCAACAGCTTGCACCATTACATTGCAGAACCACTCGCAACAGCTTGGCACCATTCGAACAGTGTGTCGAACAAGCAATGGGGTTTTGGGTCTGACTTGGGAATCGGAATGGTTTTATATTAGGCAGAAAAGGGAACCGCATCCCAGAGCGCGGCGAAATGAGAGCCCTTTCTGATAGTTACAGTTCTTTTTTGGTTCTTTTGTGGGTCGTCGTAACAACGGGAGGTTGAAAATGATATCCACTTGAGATGCAGGAGTCAGGCTCCTTTTCCCCTCTTGCTGTAAAAAAATGGGGCCACAACAACGCACCCGTTCACCCCGGATTGGAATCAATGCCTGGGTATCCACTTACTGCCGTCTTTGCGCAAAGCCCAGACCGGTAACATGAATGTCCTGTGCCGCGGCCATGCCAATGACGGATTTCTGCAGCAAGCTCAACCTTCACAACGGAAGAGCGTCCTGAGCTCCAATTGAAAAAAGACTTGTGCGAAGACGCTGACGACGCACACAACCAAAACGAAAACCACATACACACGCATTGCCGAAACGATATCAGATTTTACACTATTCTCGCAAAAAAGAAAGTACAAGACTAAAACAAACTAGCAACCAAATTTTTGTTTCATTTTTTTCACCCATATATACTCCTCACTTCTTGGCGCGCCTTGGACGCGCGGTGCGTCATCCATTTCCATAAATCTTTCGTGTTTTCCCACGCCCCCGCCAGCCGCCAAAATACCCATTATGCATTGAGTTAAAGCGATTAGAACTATGGAGGAAAGGTGAGAATGAGTGAGCAACCATATTGAAAAAAAGCAATGAAGTAACGACAGACGGCACAAAACTTACCAAAAGCTCAGTGTACTTGGGGTAAGGCCATGCCTTGTCCGAGATCTTAGCCTCAAGACCATCCGAGTTAACTCTAACCTCCTCCAACTTGGCCAACAACTGCGAGCCGACGGCGTCCGCCTGCTCCTCTCCCTCCAACTTCTCCAAATCCGCGGTGAGCTCGGACAGCTCATCAGTGGACGTTTGCAACTTGAGGGTCATCTCGGTGAGCTGGTGGTACACCTTGATCTCAGGGGAGGCCTCAACGTCGAGACCCAAGCCCTTTTGGGTGGCAAGGAAAGCGGCCAAGTCCTTGCGGTAGAGGAACGCGGCGGGAAGGACGGCTTGGTTGACCATGGTGGTGAGGGTGTTGGCCTCGATGAGAAGGTCCTTGGCGTACTTCTCCATGAGAATGTGGTAGCGGGAGTGGAGTTCCTCAGCGGACATGATGCCCAGGGATTGAAGGAGCTGCTTGTTGTGGGGCTCAAGGAGCTGCTTGAAGGCGACGGGGCAGGACTTGATGTTGGGGAGGCCGCGGGACTCGGCTTCAACGACCCACTCGTCGGAGTAGTTGTTGCCTTCGAAGCGGATGGGTTTGGAGGCGGTGATGAATTGGCGGACAACGTGGAGGATGTCCTCGATCGAAGGCTCGGGCTTGCTGCCCTTGGCCTCGACGAGGGCGTCGGCGACGGCGTTGATGGAGGCGGCAACGGCAGCGTTGAGGAGGGTGGTGGGGAAGGAGGGGGATTGCTTGGAACCAACAGCACGGAACTCGAACTTGTTGCCGGTGAAGGCGAAGGGCGAGGTGCGGTTACGGTCGGTAAGGTCACGAGCGATTTGGGGAAGAGTGGAGACCTTCAAGTCCAAAACGGTGCCGCCAACCTTGACGGTCTGGAGGTGGGGCATGGAGAAGTTGCGGACATCACGGTTCTCCTCAATGGCGTCGAGAACCTCAGTAAGGTGGTCACCAAGGAAAGCGGACACAATGCCGGGGGGAGCCTCGTTGGCACCGAGACGGTGCTCGTTGGAAGCGCTGGCAATACCGGAGCGGAGGAGACCACCGTGCTGGTGCACACCGTCGAGGGTGGCGACAAGGAAGAGGAGGAAGCGGTAGTTGGTCTCGGGCTTAAGGGTGGGGTCCAAAAGGTTGTCACCCTGGTCGGTCGACATGGACCAGTTGCAGTGTTTGCCGCTTCCGTTGATGCCCTTGAAAGGCTTCTCGTGGAAGAGGACCTGGAATACGGTGAAGACGCATGAAAATCGCGGCACACAAATGCGAAGGTATTCGTTATGTACATACCTTGAGCTTGTGACGGTGGGCAACCTGGTGAAGGGTCTCCATCGTCAACAAGTTGTGGTCAACAGCAACACTGGCTTCCTCGAAGATGGGAGCCATCTCAAACTGGGCGGGGGCGACCTCGTTGTGGCGGGTCTTGATGGGGACACCAAGTTTCCACAATTCAAGTTCAGACTCGCTGATACAAGCGAGCACACGGCTGGGGATTTGGCCGAAGTAGTGGTCATCCAACTGTTGGTGCTTGGGGGGAACGGTACCGAT